TTTGAGATAAAATCATTTTTAAACAAAATTATTTTATTACTAATAAGCAAACATTCATACAACAGAATAGCAAACATATATACAATGGAGTAACAAATAGTAGTTACTTTTCTTTCCCTTTACATATACAACATTTTCCCCATCATTAAGACTGTGAATACATTATAACAAACATGTGATTAAAGAGCAAAAAGGGAAAAAGGGAAAAAAATAGGAAAACAGGGAGGGAGGGAAGGAAAGGGGACATGTAAGGTTCCTATGAATCTAAAACAGTGCCATTTACTGACAATTGATTAGAAAAGTAAATTGTGATGAAAACACAGAAATGATTAGATGATAATCTTCCAAAAAATTAGTTGATTTGCTGGAGGACCTTGGGATGCTGAAATATTTGGTATAGAACATAACCCTGCTTTTGTTATGTTCAAGTTTCTAGAAGATATCTTTTACGGCTCATCTTTGAGCAGGAGATGGGAAGTGTGTGGACCTTATCCCACGCTGCTCTCAAAAGTGGCAAGAAAGCGATATGAGCATCATTCCAGTACTATAGCGCTAGTATAAATATGGTGCTAGCGCTATAATAGCGCTATGGATCAGCTCGCGCTATTGCAATGCCCGCTGAAACCGACATTCAAAAGAATGCGAATGATGCTGCATTCCGAGCAGTTTCTTGCTGGATTCTGAGCGACGTCATGTAATCACACGGAAAAATATAGCGCTATAGCGCCTGATTCTTAGCAGATTCTGAGCGACGTCGTGTAATCACATGGAAAAATATAGCGCTATAGCGCCTGATTCTTAGCGGATTCTGAGCAACGTCATGTAATCACGCGGGAATGTATAGCGCTATAGCGCCTGATTCTTAGTGGATTCTTGCTGCTTTTGGCCCCGTGTGATAAGGTCCTGTGTGTGTGCATGCACATGTGGACATGTGCAAGGAGAGGGAAAACGTAGATTCTAATAAGTGTTGTCATCCATGAAATGTTTCTCTCTTACAAATCACTCTCTAATCATCTTCTAAAACGTAATAAACCATGTACACTGATGGCAGGGGATGTATTTTGGAGCTAGTGGAAGTCATCAGACTGTACCTGTCAGGAGTAGCCTCCAGCAAACATGAAAATGCTGTAGAGAGAAAATGCTGTACCTCCTGAATTAGTTTTATTATGGGCTATTATCTGAACATTTCCCTCTGTGAGAGGGGTGACAATAGCTTATTTGGAATATATGCTATATAAATATATAGGTATAAATACACATAGGATACATCTATACTGCACAAATAATCCAGTTTGACACCACTCTAACTACCATAGCTCAGTGCTATGGAATTCTGGGAACTGAAGTTTTGTGAGACATTTAGCCTTCTCTGTCAGCAAACTCTTGTGCTGCAACAAACTACAGTTCCCAGAATTCCATAGCAGTGAGCCATGGCAGTTAAAGTGGTGTCAAACTGTATTGTTTCTGTAGTATAGATGCAGCAGCCACAGAGATATCGATATAGATACAGATATGTAGGAGAAGAGTATAAGGAAGCCAATTATATTTGTAGATGTGCTGAAAGCTCGAAACTTTTTCTTGCTTGTCAGCTGATTTGAATGAATATATACATCAATAAAAGTACTTATTTTATTTATTATTGTTGAATTTTCACTGCTAGTATAGGGCATGAGAGATGTTCCTCAGACTTTCCATCTTGAAATGCCCAGAGTGTGGAATACTAATTTGAAAATTAGTTTGTTAATGTTAACCATCAGACATTAAGAGACAAATTTGGCGTCCTTAATATGAATAATGGAAATAATTTAATTTGTTGAGTTAGTGTTGGCTGGTAAGTTGCTTTGTATGTTAGTTTTTGAAACAGTGTTCAAGAACAGGATTTACAGAGAATGACATGAGGCACTTCTTGTTATTGGCTTCTTCAAAAGTTCACCCATATTATGATTGTTGCCTGGAAATGGTGGAAGTCCAACCAATTTAAAAAAGGTTGAAAAGGTTATCCTGAAGCAAAGGCTCTCATGTGTGAGAAAGAGAAGCCAAGAAAGAAGGTGAGGTGAAAAAAATCTTGTTGCTTAATTATCCAAATACTCAGTACCGTAGATGCAATAAGTATACTAAAAGGGTCCATTGCAGCTCACTCCAAATAATAACATTCTAAACCAGAAAATAAAATCAATACACATTACAGGATTAAAATGGAAAAGACCCACTACTTCTCCACACACATGCACAGACACTGCTCACCACCCAGAAAGACTTCAACTTCAATACAGGGAGGTGATGCCAGCTTTCAGCTCCAAAGTGCCTAACATGGATGTCTGAGGTCCTTCCACTAAGCAAATAAATCACATACATGCACATACTTGTTCCATTCCAGGCAACACCTCACCATTTTCTTGCTTCAATTACTAGGCAACAGGACAAGCCAACCCAAAGCCACAGAATGCATTTATTTCAGCCCAGATTCTTCTCCTGACACTTTCCTATTGTTTTTTTTAATCTGGCATAGGGATAGCAGCTGCCCTCCCCACCAAAAAAAAACCAAAACAATTAAGTAATTAAAGAATTCATTAACATTTAGCATTAACTTCACTGTTAATGAGGAAATCTATGAAATGCAGCCACATTAAGGAGGAAATCTAAAGAATCAATAAATTCATGAATTAATCAACAAAACTTTCCAAGTGCTGGCAATGTCCACATAGCTTTCCTGGCTATTATGCATATTGATTTGGTGAGGGAGAAAGCATTTGATGCACTGCCTCAACATGAAATGTCTAAGGTTACTTAGGATCTCAGTATGCTACCTAGTTCCCTGTAGGCAATTATTTTCAGTGAAGCATGCAGCTGATACGCAGATAGATTCCAGTAATATACTTTGTGAGATTCTAGACTCAAGCGATGTTATTTTATGAGTGAAAAGGAAACAGTGATAGCAAATAAACTGAGTTGGTCTCTCTGAGAGACCTAGGAAGCCAATTATATGGATGGTTGTTCACTGATGCAGTGACTGCCTTGTCAAAGAACAGGTCAATGACCTGAATACTGGCTAGGATCTTTATTGCACAAGCAAACAAAACAGAAATGGAGCTGTATAGTAGCACCTTTCTCCATGCTCTACTGAATAACATTATAGCACTTCAGTTCTCTTCCCACAAGAGATAGGTGTAAAAGCATCTCTTTTGTCAAACTGGTTTTTCCAGCTAGAAGAAAAATACACTTTACAACTGCCTCCCATGGGAAGAGAACTGAAGCACTATGACGTCATGCAATAAGGCACGGATAAAGTCACTACTCTCCAACTCTGCTTCTACTCTGTTTTCTTGTGCAATAAGGGGCATTGCAGACTGGCCTAAAGGGGCTGGAATTGGGGCGGGGCAGCTGCACACCAGCCACCCCAAACCTTGATGCCGTCCTGCAACCACACAGCTATTTACATGCCCTGCTCCTGGATCGGCCCAACAACAGTCCTTTTGGGCCATATGTTTGAGGCCTATGGCAACATCCAATGAAATCCTGTGACTTTCAGTTTAGGGAGAGACTTTTATAATTCTCAACCACAGAAATTTTCTGGTGCCTCTGACCAAACTGTAAACCCTAGGATTCAAGCAAGATGGAATGGAGTGGTATAACTGTGAAGTGTGAAAGTGCCCCTGATTACCCATTAGGTCACAAATTATTTCACAATATTCTGTTGTTAAAAATAACAAGAGTCCATTAAATAATGGTTGGTTCTTTGAAAAACAAGGGATAATCAGGACAAGAGGAAGAACTCTCCGCTGTTCCAGGAGCTGCCATCTTCAGTGTCTTTCCTGTGTCTGCCTCTTGTGGCTCCCTTACATGTTGGATATTGATGTTAGATGGCTGCTGGAAATAGGAGGAAGGTGACACTCCACTTAATTGGAGCACTGGTCATTATGTTTTCCCACAAAACAGAGGGTAGGAGGGTTGATTCAAAGGATGCAAAACACAATTGCATGCCATTTTGTTACAAAAGCATCCATCATATAAAAGACTTAGAAGACAAAAATGTTTGATCATGCAAGTACACAAAATTTTATTGGCACACAGATTTTTTGGTTTGATTTGTCTTTTTTTGCCAAAGCCCCATTAGTAGTCCTACCTCTGAATTTACCAAGCACTTCACCCAAAGACAATCATTTGACAAAGAAAGAGAATGATCAAACAATCTTTTAAGCTAGTAACTGATATTAAACAAAGAATGGAAATCAAGCAGAGGATTTCATTTATTTATCTGTGTTGTTGTTATTGTTGTTGTTGTTGTTGTGGCTGCTGCTGCTGTTGTTCTTGTTGTGTGCCTTCAGGTCATTTCCGACTTATGGCAACCCTAAGGTAAACCTGTCACAGGGTTTTCTTGGCAAGTTTCTTAAGAGGCGGTAAGCCATTGCCTTCTTCTGAGGCTGAGAGAGTGAGATTTCCAAGTTAACCCAGTTGGTTTCCATGTCCAAACTGGGATTAGAACCCTGGTCTCCTAGTGTCTTCTATAAAATGCTTGGAAAACAGGTTTGTCAAGTGTCAGATTATCAAGATAAAGAGAATCCTAGATAGGCAAGAATCTCCATAATTCAAGACTTAATTCCATGTGGAAAATGTGTGGCTTTTGTGCAGAAAATGTTTTTTTTTCCTTTTTTTTCCAGTTAGTTTCAAAGATGCTACAAGATCTCTCTACATACTGTGACTAAATTCCTTTTTATCATTTTGGAAAATAAATACATTCTTTTTTTAAAAAAAATGTATCAAATGGTACTAGCTTGGACAGAGCTTGGAAAAGTTGCTTTTTGGACTATGGTACATGATTGCTTTATATATAACATGTGGGGAATTACCTTCTTCTCAAGTCAGAATTCAACCCCTGTCTGTCCTGAAAGCACTGAAAATCAACTTCACTTGATGATTCCAGTATTATAAGAAAGGGGAAAGCATTTCAATTTATTTTCTTCTGATCTCTCTCAGATACTTTAACCAGCACCTAAATTATTGCCTATGTAGTGTAGTGGCTTGAGTGTTGGACTACAACTCTGGAGACCAGGGTTCAATTCCCAGCTCAGCTATGAAACCCACTGAGTGACCTTGGGCAAGTGACATGCTCTCAGCCTCAGGGGAAGGCAATGGCAAACCTCATCTGAATAAATCTTGTCAAGAAAATTCCATGATAGGTTCACCATAAGTCGGAAATGACTTGAAGGCACAAAACACACACACACAAATCAGAGACGGTGATATGGGAAGGGGCCATATTTCCTCTACCTTTGCTGCTGCAAACCTTTGCTATTTTTTGTTTGCCAACAAGAAAAGTTTTCACTTCCAGATATTATCACTTCCAGCAGCGGAGCAGCTACAGTGGCTATGAGGCCCGAGCGGACTATTTAAAAAAAAAAAGCCTGTTCCACCACTATGACCCAGTGGCAGAATAGCGCAGCAACAATACCCATGATGGTGAAAACATACTTATCGAGCATTGCCATAAGGAACTTTTCTCAAGCTGTCGGGTATATATTGCGAAGGAGGCTGTTGGGCTGCTACAACACCTTCATCTCTGTTAGCGACTGGGAATGATCTGGAAGCGGGAATTGAAGTTGTGCGGGGGAAAGGGAGGTATGGCAGGAACAGTGTGAGGTGCTGTTACAAAAGAAGGTGGGATCAATATTTGGAAGCTATCCCACCTTCAACTCACTCTGTTTCTCGGAATGGTTTGGAGAGCTTACCAGTCATTCCACAGAACCTTACTTTGCTCCTTTGCAATGCCAGGTCAGTGAAGAATAAGATCCATATTATCTATGATCTCCTCGTAGATGAGGATGCCAACCTGGCTTGCTTTACAGAGACCTGTTTGGGAGAAGATAGCACCATAACATGGACGTGATCCCTCCCAGCTGGGTACTCCGTTAGTGAGCAGGTAAGGGGAAGTGGGTGAGAGGATGGAGTGGCTCTGGTTCATAAAAATAACCTGATCTTGACCAGGATACCTGTCCAGAACACACTTCAAGTGTATGTACCTAAGCCTATGGACCAGGGATAGTTTGGGGATTCTGCTAGTATACCAACCACCCCATTGTCTAGCAGACTCCCTAACTGAGCTGACTCAGCTGGTCTCTGAGTTGTTGCTGGAGTTACCCAAACTCTTTGTCTTGGGCGACTTCAACATCCCTCTTGAGATCGGCTTGTCAAATCTTACAGGGGCAGCTCAGGAGTTCATGGAATCCATGACAAATATGGGCCTATCCCAATTGGTCGCTGGGCCTACTTATTGCGCAGGTCATACCCTTAATGCAGTCTTCTGTATGGAATGGGAATATCCATGGGCAGAGGTTATCAAAACCTCCACATTGGCATGGACGGATTATTTCCTGGTCAAGGTTGAACTAAAAGCCACTGTCCACCACCACCCCGGGGGAAGTGGACCTATTACAATGGTCTGCCCTTGAAGGCTAATGGAACCAATTGGATTCCAGAAAGCTTTAGAGGGTTTAATGACTGGTAATACCAGTGATTCTGCTGAAGCTTTGGTTAACACCTGGAACATTGATCTTGCCAAGGCTATTGACACAATCACTCCCAAGTGTCCTTTCCAACCCACTTCGAACCATAAACCTTGGTATACGGAAGAGCTTAGGAGGGTGAAGCAGGTTGGACAACGACTAGAGTGCACCTGGTGGAAAACTCGACTCTTATCTGGCAAGACTGGTCATAGGAACTTTCTTCATTCCTATCGAGAGGCAACACATGTAGCGCAGAGATCTTTCTGTTCTGCACGTATTGTATCTGCAGAGTCCCATCCAGCAGAACTGTTTAGGGTGGTAGGAGGGCTGACGCAGATGCCACCTGCACAGAACCCACTACTTAACCCAACAACAGCCTGCTGTGATGTGTTTAACAGCTTCTTTGCAGATAAAATCTCTCAGATAAGAGCCGACTTAGATGCCAGTATTGATACAGAATCAACAGATGAGGTGTCCAGCAACTCCGTTAATGAAATTTTACTGGATTGGTTCCAATCTGTGAGTACCGATCATGTGGACAAGCTCCTTGATAAAGTGAGGAAAACTACCTGCCCTCTCGATCCTTGCCCATCATGGCTGGCCATCTAGGGGGGGAAATGCCTTGAAGGTGTTCCTTAGGGACATAATCAATGCATCCCTCAGGGAGGGTCATGTCCCACTTTGTTTGAAGGAAACGGCGGTTAGGCTGCTTCTGAAAAAACCTTCCCTGGACCCCCTTTATATGAACAGTTATAGGGCGGTCTCGTTACTATCTTTTTTGAGTAAGGTGATTGAGAGGGCAGTAGCTCTTCAACTCCAAACTGTCTTGGATGAAACCAATTATCTAGATCCATTTCAAATGGGCTTTAGGACAGGATTTGGGGTTGAGACTGCCATGGTTGCCTTGACTGATGACATTTGTCTGAGCATTGACAGGGGTAGTGTGACCCTGCTGGCGCTCTTAGACCTCTCAGTGGCCTTCAATATAATAGATTACAACATCCTCGTGGATTGCCTGAGAGGGTTAGGAATTGGAGGCACTGCATTGCAGTGGTTCCATTCCTTCCTCTCGCGTATATTCCAGAGGGTGTGGCTTGGGGACAGTAGCTTTGCTAGGAAGGCGCTTAAGTGAGGTGTCCCTCAAGGTGCCATCCTGTCCCCAATGTTATTTAATATCTATATGAAGCCGCTAGGAGAGATCATCTGGAGACATGGGTTGGGGTGTTATCAGTACGCTGATGACACCCAGATATATTTCTCCATGTCTCAGTCTTAGGCCTCAACTTCAGATGGTGTCTCTTCTCTCAAAGACTGTCTTAAGGCAGTAATAGTTTGGATTAGGAAAAACAGATTGAGACTGAATCCAGACAAAATGGAGGTATTTACAGTAGTGGCCCCAAAACTAGGTATTGGGATACAACCTCCAGTCCTGGACAGGGTCACACTCACCATTAAGGACTGTGTTAGCAGTCTGGGGGTACTCCTGGATTCGTCACTTCAGATGACTAATCAGGTGACCACAACAGCCAGGAGTGCCTGTTATCATCTTCAGCTGATATGCCAGCTGCGCCCTTTCCTAGAAGTAAGGGACCTTGAAACTGTGGTACATGAGCTGGTAACCTCTCGTCTCGATTTCTGCAATGCGCTCTACATGGGGCTTGGTCCAGAAACTCCAACTAGTACAGAATATGGCAGCCAGAAACTTGGTCCAGAAACTCCAACTAGTACAGAATATGGCAGCCAGGCTGGTCTCGGGTACATCTAAAAGAAACCATATAACACCAGTATTGAAGTCTTTTCACTGGCTGCCTATTAGTTTTCAGGCCCAGTACAAGATGTTGGTTATCACCTATACAGCCCTAAAAGGCTAGGGTCCATCCTATCTTTGACACCGCCTCCTCCCATACAATCTGCCCCATACACTTCAGTCCTCTGGAAGGAACATGCTGCAGTCGATAAAGACAAGGCTGTCTGCAATCTCCCAGAGGGCCTTCTCGTCGACTGCTCCCAGACTACGGAATGGCCTGCCAGATGAGATCTGCCATATTACAACCTTAGACAGCTTTAAAAGGGCTGTCAAGACGGATCTCTTCCAGCAGGCCTTTCCAGACTAGATTTCCTGGTCCTAGGAGTTGTCTATCCTCTCATTATTATCCCCCGCTGAAGTGATTGTGTTGCTGTGTGCTATTAGACTGTCCACACCTATGTGAATAATTTTAAAATGTTTTAATCTGTTATTGTTTAATTAATTTTTAAGAGGTGGGTGGATGTGGGATTCGGGATAGTGCTTTTATTGTAAATTCTTGTTCAATTTTAATTTTGTAAGCCACTCCGATTGCTCCTCACAGGGGTGGGATATAAATAAATAAATTATTATTATTATTATTATTATTA